TAATGGATGGTTCATTGAAAAACGGAAACGAATGTTATTTTTTCCTAAATTTGCTCCCTAATTTCGATCATGTTGATAATGTGGGTAATGATGGTGTTGTTGCTTTTGAAATATATTTCTGAAAAAGAAACAATTACATTGGAAGCTGTGTTTAAGATTTATCTTCTATAAATAATGTTTGCAAATAGACTAGGGTGTTGCTTGACAAAAATAAATCTTTTTTCGGCGACTCTATAAGTAAAATGTAAGCACAATTGTTTGCTTGTCGATGAATATCATTCGATAAGGTTAGTCCAGTTGAAGCAATGGTGTAAAAGTTACCCAAAACCATGATGCCTCTAGGGGTTTTGTCTTCAGGGCATAGTAAAGGAACAGATGTGAGTGTACAAGATTTGTATCGACCTGTTGAAAACAATGGCGATGGGCACCGATCTTTCAGCAGAGCAAATAAAACGCACAATTGCAATATTTACCACATGCTACAAAGCTGTAATATTTATATAATTAAAATACGCATCAAAATACAATACATTACAGTACTTACAACTTCGGTGTTTTCTCGCATTGGAATAGCCAAAGAGCGATTTGCTCTTCCAATGCGCCTGTGCCGTCGCTTGCTTACACTGATCTATTGTGACTGTGATCATTGACAGCACGGGCGTGTCCGAGAAAACCCCGAAGAACGACAAACAAACACACAACAATATCACACATTTCTTCAAGGGGCTCGTCGAGCGGTTGCAAACGCAACAGACCTGTAGCTTATAATTATTATAGTTTATGATATTAATATCTCCTTTAAACTTCATTTGCAATGGGTCGGAGTCGGTATCGGTCTTGCCGGAAACATCACACCAACCAGCTGTTCTGTCTTCTCTACTGAAGCTGCTGCCATCTTTATCGCTGCTACAATGCCCTCGGACCGACCGATCCTGGTCCTCACGGATTTGCACCGCGTCAAACAAACTCTGAAATCCGAGGCCCCAACTCATCCCTGGGTACAGGCGACGATGAAGTCCGCACCACCAAACACGGTATTCTGCTGGGTTCCGGGGCACTGCGGAATACCAGGCAACTCTGAAGCTGACTTTCTTGCTGGGCAGGACCATCTGTCCCTCGTTATACCAACGAAGTACCGTTACACGATGCCAAGCGCTGGATCGTGAGCAAAGTATGGGAAGCTTGGGACGCGGAGTGGGCCCAAAACCACTCCCTCTTCATCAGAAGGATCAAAGGGATGACGAGAAAGTGGACAGAACCGTTGAACCAGTGGGATCAGAAGATAGCGTCGCGTTTGAAGACCGGTCTCAGCAAGATCTCGCACAATTCCGGTGGAACTCCGTTCCACATGACTTGTGTCGGTTGTAGAACCCCAGCCTCAGTCGAGCACATTCTATGTAAATGCCCTCAGTATCAGAACCTACGGGAGCTCCACGGGCTACCAAATAGCATACGCGACATGCTGGGCGATGATCCCTCCACACTGGCAGCGTTAATGCACTTTTTAAAGTTCAGTCTTTTTTAAATTTCTTTCGGCTGTTGGGACATTTCTGCCTGATGGGGGCCCTCCCGGTTCCCCCGGTGTAGAGCTCTGTCTTATTCAGACTTTAATGTTTGTGGTCTTAATATGCTTCATGTGGAGATTTATTTGGCCATACTCCAGCTCCAACTGTTTCCAAAAGTACGCCCAAAATTTGAGTTTGTTTATTATATCTAATAAATTTGACGTAGGATTACGTCTTTCGGTAACATATTGGGGGTGCAATTAAAAAAAAAAACAAAATCGACCGCATTACGAAAAGAGGTCAAGTTTTGACCACATATAAGTCTGTCTATAGCAGATGGATTTTCATTCTAAACAAGCCAAACGATTGGAAATTTATCTACCAATCTGCTAAAGTATTCACAAAATTATCAAAATTATCACCAATTGCCTGTAGACACCGCATTCCCTAACACAGATTTAAAAATCGAATTCGATCCTATCTCAATCACCATGTGTGGTTGTGTCCGGTCGTCGGTGTCAGCAGCAGCAGTGCTTTCGGCGTGTGGCGTTGAACTGTGTTCTCCAGTACACAACGAAAGGTAGCCTGCAAGCAGTGAGCTGCAGAGCCCACATGAGCATCCATAGAAGGAGAAAGAAGCCGCACCACTATGGATCAAAATCAGTTTCTTCGTGAGTCGCTGTGGGTCATCTATGCCAAGCGCGGCACCCTTGCTTCAAACAACATAATAGCTCAGCAATACTCAACCATCACGACAAAACGGTCCTTTTCAGGACCACCATAAATTTATTAAAGAGTATATTTTGGACATTTCTGAAGGTCGTCAATCGAATGTCAGTTCCCATATGTTAAAATCAAACATACCATATATTTTTAAGGCAACATTGACAGTGCAATTTCAGAATCCAAAGTCGGTTGCGGCATGAAAGTGGGCTGATTTTGATCCAGAGATGATGGATTTTAATTCTGAATACGCAAATCGATAGGAAATTTTTCTACGAATCTGTTAAAATTAAGGATTTATCATTTTTCAAAATGTCACTATTGAAAATTGTACAAATGTGCAAGTGTTGCTATGATCATAAAATGGTCACCGATTACCTGCAAAAAGCGCTTTCCCTAACACAGATTTCAAAATTGAATTCCATCGAGTCTCAACAAACGCTGTTCATTCAATCATTGCGTGTGGTGAGTGGTGGTGTTCTCCAGTACACAACGAAAGGCTCCCCGCAAGCAGCTTGCTATCAAGGCTGCCCTCAACCGCTGATCGGATTCAGTTGCTCGTTGTGATTCTGTGATTCCAAGAACATCGAGGACACATTTCTGCAGCATTGTTCTAAACTGGCCGCCAAGCTTCAAATCCATCGGTCCTTTTCAGGACCACAAATGACTGATAAAAGAGTTAACTAAAGAGTAAGAGCTTGTATCCAAAACAAACCGTCCAGGATTGGCTTGTACTACATGGACATCGACAGAGCACCTCACAAACAGAACTCTCAAATTGCTTCCGAATTTCAACCTATCGAAATTTTTCTAACGAATTAATAAATCAAATTTAATATATACTTTACTTTTGCTGTGACATCAAAACTACGTTTCGTAATCCTACGTCAAATCTACGGTCGTGTCTTGGATACAACCTCTAACTTTTTCAATCGAGTAAAATTTTTGACAATACTTACCTCATCTCATACCCTTTCCATTTTAAAAACGGCACCAAACTTGGTACAGCTCAATAAAGTTTTATAATTCTAGGATTAATCACTGTATTGACCGATATTTTCATTTGGAGTAAACAAACCTTAGCAACGGGTAATTTGATTATAAATACTTCAGCGATCAACAGTGTTGCCGTTTTATATAATATTGTTCGTGTAATACGTATCAGTGTGTGCCTTAACGTGCCGAACAGAGTGTCGTTCTGTGTTCCGGCACTGTGTGCAGAGTTGATTCCCCCTTGGGATTTGCAAAATTTGCACTTTTATTAGGAAAAAAAATAACTTACGATGGTTGACACTCCCGTAAAAGTTAGGCGTCGTATGTAACATTGATCTATGTTTTCGGTTGGGACATACGACAAATAGTTTTTTTTTATGAGAAAATTAAACAGAAATTTTGTATAGGGTTCACATTTTGCCTTTAGGAAGAGCAAGCAGAGTAGTTTCTGGTAGCACTAAAATGTCAATTTGTTTACGTTTGTTACATACGGCCTATTCAAAAAGCACTTCGTTTTTTTCCGTCATTTGGCGTGGATCTTCTCTAAGGTCTAAGGTGGCATGGTCACTAATTATTTGTTCATAAAATTCTGCTTTTGATACATTACACAACATGTTACATTTCGTCAGGGGGATAGAATGGATTGCGATACTTAGGCTCTGAACCATTTGGTGGATTATTTTAACTATTGGTTAAAATTTGACCCATGAATGAAAGTTATCGATTAACCCTGCTATCCGAGCGTGGTTATTTCTGACAGACAAGAAGTTAAATTTTGACGACCGTGGCTCGAAAACCGGTAGATCGACAGCACGGGGATTTTCGAACATAAGAAATAACTTTTGAAATGTCACTTTTAACTACGAGTTAAATTTAACTCGGCAAATGGTTCACAGTCTTAATTGACATAAGTTGAATTCGTATATTGAAGCACCCCTGAGAAGGGGCTGGATTTTTTTTCCAGCCAAATGGAATACTTATAATTGGCTTTATAAAAAGCGGATGCATGACATAACTTAATAGCATAGGTATATCTAATCTGTGTTATTCGTAGCAATAATTGTTCATTCATTCCATGGTCCTGGCGACCTCAACCTTACAATAGCTACCATTCACGATCCAATACTAATCCATGACATGCAGCGTGCGTATAAATCCAAAAAGCCACCAGGAAGCCAATGAATTTTGCATTTTGCTCAGGTATAAAACTCACCAAATCAAACAATTCCCAATCCCTCGAACGGAAATCAACATAACCTAATAATGTGATAGATCACCCCAAAAACTTCAAATTTAGATTATTCCAACTCATTCCAACTAACCGCACTTGCACTTCATTGCACTAGTGAGTGTTTCTATGTAGCAGAAAGTATTTTCAAATCACCTGAACTAACAAGATTACATTCCGGCTGCCAATGTTTCGAACGAAGATGATATCGGTGATTATCTCGCATGCTACCCGAGAACGAGCGACTGCTACAATGTTCGTTCGCTCGTTCGGACGTTTATCGTCGGTCGTAAGTCAGGGAAGGTATAGTTGATACAGCTGTACCATTACCATTCATTATAGGTACGTTACCCACGTGAGACACCGACCATTGGAAAAAGTGAAAATTGAGTGAAAAAGATGTTACTCAGAAGTCCGAAAATGCCCCATCACGGCGACGGACGTTCAGGATGAAGCTGAAAATCACTGGAATTAAACGATCGCGAATTTGAACGATGATGACGCGGAAGTAGCCCGATCGAGGAAGGGAGCCACGTCCGGGTTCCGAGTGGAGTGAATCTTCAGAAAATCACTTGAACAGAGACACCGTCCGTGTGGCGGTTCTCGTTTTGTCTCGCGAGCTCTGCCGCAAACGAACGATTGCGACGTCAAACGCGAGCGAGGCTGAATGGGTTGGAATGGGATTTTGCACGCGGCGGGTGGAGACGGTTTGTAACATTGTGAATTTATAAATACGGTACGGGGAGAACCCGCCGAGAACAGTACGAAACGGGAGACTGCCTGAAGAAGGCGCGCATGCGGATCGGTCAAAGCTCTTCAGCTTGAGATAGGCAATTGGAAAATTTGAAGGCGTTCGTGAACGAAGCAGTAAGTCTTGATCGTCGTCGGTGGTGAAGTTGTTGTGCAATACGCGTAGCATATAGCCTAGCCTTAATCGGTGTCTCCATCCCTCGCTAGAAACCAACGAATGTACGTTGCGAGTGCAGTGCTCCAGCGTGATTGCGTTGCGCCAAACCGTCGTCGGTGTGTTGATGCTGTTTGTGTTTACCTACTCTCTTTCGTCACCGAGGCCAGGTGTAATACTTGCTACGAAAGGGAAAAGCTAACCAAAAAATAACCAGTTTTCTGTTGCTCGGTTTCTTCGCAATGCTCAGCAGAAAAGTGCACCGTAGATGAAGAAACATCACCCATCAAGCAAGCTGGTAGGCAGTCGAGTCGCCGAAGAGAAGCTGAGCGGAAATTCAAAGTGTAGTGAGAGTGCTAAGTGAGACTGAGCGAAAGTGAGAAAAGTGACACTTATGTTTCGATGAAAGTGAAATGGTGTGCAATAGATTCTCCCGCTCTCTGAGGAGCACGTGAGTGTTGTACGTATGCTATATACGTACAGTTTTCTGCATGAAACACGCTGCGGAGATCGCCTTCGATCAGCTCAGTAAGTGGCAACATGGAGATACATTTCTCCCAAACAGAGCGCGAAAACGCGAAAACACGCGTGTTGAAGCTATTTATAAAATTCGCCCCGTATCGCTGACCCCTAGGTTACCCACATACATCAGATCTGTGCTCTGCTGCTGATGTTGAGCTACAACTGCGACAGGGTGTGATCGATGGTGTTGGGCCGGGCAGATGTAATCTAATTGGATTCGACGCAGTTTACAAAACAGCGAAAGGTTGTTGATATGTTGTGGCGCGACTGGCGTCACATGGTGCCACTCTAGTGTGTGTTGAATTTAATCTTCTATGCACAAACAGGATCGCGTGAATCATAACAATATTAACGGGAATAAGCAGCAGCAGGTACCCTCGGTGTTTGCGACGGAGCAAATGATCCGAATGGGAATTGCGGATCATCTCTGAATGACTGAATCATGTTCTAATGTTAGAGTTTTGTCGAATTGATTGACTGTTTTGCTTGCGGTGAAGTGAGTTGCAATAAGCGGTGAAACGGGTTTATAGATGAGATGAGGATCGAATTAACATTTTATCTGTTATCTGATAGATTGCTTCAAGATATAAAAGTTAAAATATGCTCAATATGTGACAATATGTTAATTTTATTTGATTTGAAATAAAAAGTTAATTGAGTTGAAACCTGCTTCCTTTTGAAGACAGTAAAAAAGTGATCCGATTTTGGCAAGTCACCATTCTACTTCCTTTATACTCTTATTTCGTTTAAATTATAGATAAAGTGGTTGAATTCTAGATGTACCAATTTTATAGGCATGGATCCTTTGCTTACATGATTTTATTTCTCAGCATCTTCGTATTTTCAGAGAATTACTCAATTTTGATAAAATGGCCCATTTTTTTACTGTGGTTACTAGCCTTTTCCGGTTAGTTCTCATGTTCTTAATCTTCACCATTTCAACATGTACACCCTCGTGTACAGCTCTTGCTAATGGGAGAACCAAGGGGGCCCCCCCCTTCAAGAGTTTTGGGTGTTTTGTTGATACACCGGTATTTTTTATGGACCCCGTTGTCAAGCAGGTCAAGGTTACTTTTAACAGCGATTAACGCCACTCTTTCCGGGAATAGTTTCACATCCGGATGTTTGGTGGACGCCTTCAGCACAGCTTGCCTTAGACAGCTGAAAGGTGTCGCGAACGAAAACGATCGTTTGTTGGACCTTTGTTTTGTTAATGATGAACTCGGTACTCACTGCAGCATGATTCGAGCTCCATGTTCGTTGGTAAAAGGTTGCAGGCATCATCCTCCTTTGAAATTATCGTTGCAGTATCATGTTTGAAGTACACACTTAGAAATTATTATTTTTAGCTTTGACGTAAGTCATGGAACGTAAACAAACATGGCATGTAAAATTAAGTGTCCTGAAACTGAAACATATGCAACTAGACAAAAATTGCGTTTGATTGAATTGATTTTCTCGTCCTTTTCAACTGATTCTTATGTCAAAAGGGCCGCTTGCATGTGTCGGTCTCAGGGCACTGAAACTTACATGTCTTTTTCGTAGTGTGTACCTTCGTTCATGCTAGTGCTAATACCATATACTAAGACTTCAGTAAAGCCGATAACGCCAGTATGAACTCCTTTCTCACACACACTTAGAAAACTTCGTGTAAATTTAGGTGCTCTGAAACTGACATATACGAGCGTCAATTTTGACATAAAATTGAGTCATAATAGACGCAAAATTCAGCTCAATCAAACGTATTTTTCGTCGAGTAACGAACTTTACAGTCTCGGAGCACTTAATTTTACATAACATGTTTGTTTACGTCTCATCCTGTATGTCAAATATGGATTCCATCACGTGTTAAATCAGGTATTTCTAAGTGTGCAGGTTGAACTGAACTAATACGTGATTGCGATGTAAACCTCAGTGCTGCACACTTAGAAAAAATCATGTAAATTTAGGTGCTCTGAGAGTGACATATACGAGCGTCAATTTTGACATAAATTTGAGTCATATCAGACGCAAAATATAGCTCAATCAAACGTACATTTTGTCGAGCAACGAACATTTCAGTCTCGGAGCACTTAATATTACATGACTTGTTTGTTTACGTCTCATCTTTTATGTCAACGACGGATCCGTCACGTGTAAAATTAGTTATTTCTAAGTAAGTGTGGTTGTGGGTAGTCACGGGTAGTTGACGACTACTTAGCTGAATCCCGAAAAAAAAATACAAAATAGGTAAAATACAGCAATCCAATTAGAGCAAAATCTCACCGCAAATGATAAATATTAAAAATACACACACTTAGAAATTATTTTTTTTACACGAGACGTAATTCAGCTTTGACGTAAATCATGGAACGTAAACAAACATGGCATGTAAAATTAAGTGTGCTGAAACTGAAAGAGTGCGTTTGATTGAATTGAATTTCCCGTCCTTTTCAACTGATTCTTATGACGAAAGGGCCGCTTGCATGTGTCGGTCTTAGGGCACTGAAATTTACATGTCTTTTTCATAGTGTGCACTGCACCCAAGTCAGTCCCCTCGAACACTTGCGCCCCCAGTTAACAAGTTCGACAAAAAGTTTAAAAAATATCAAATAAGAAAAAAAAACTAGCGTCTGATATACATGTTCAAGTAAGTAAATTTGAAATGGAAAGCGTCTCTGGTAGACAAGTTCAGAGAAAAATTATTTGAATCGTTAAATTTAAAATGTGTTGCGCCCCTGATAAACACGTTCTGGAAAACATTTAGAAGGGATATATTTGAAATGACTTGCGTCCCAGGTAAGCATGTTTAAAATGATTAAAACCGTTCAATTTTAAAAATAGGATAGCGCCCCTAATATACATGTTCAGGGAAAAATTTAAAGAAAATGTTAAATCTGGAAAATCTAAACAAATATAAAATTTGAAATAGCTAGCACCCCTGGTAGACAAGTTGCGGTAAATGTTAAATAAAAATGTCAAATATTAAATAGCTTGTGCCCCTTGGAAATATGATCAAGGAAAAATGAAAAAAAAGTATAATGTTAGCGCCCCTGGTAGACATGTTCAGGAGAAAAAAAATATTCTTAAACATTGATTAAAAACTTTAAATTTGTAGTAGTTGGTACCCCTTACGCTCCGGAATAAATTTTTTTTAAAATATTAAGTTTGAAATGGCTTTTACCTCTGGTAGACATGTTCGGGGAAAAATTGACAAAATATTGAATTTGAAATGGCTTGCGCCCCTGATAAACATGTCACGGAAACAATCAATCAAAAATGGTACAATTGAAGTGACCTGTGCCCTTGATCGGGGAAAAAAAAGTTTAATATAACCACTGATCCCTAGACTGAACCAGTGTCTGTTTTTATCATTTACCATCACACGCAAGGAGTAGCGCTTCAACCCAGTGTAGATGAATTGCGTTTGTTTTGAAAATCTTCGCTGTTACGTACGAGCGAAATCTCACGTCACTTTTCAAATAGACCAATGTAAAAAATGTAAACAAATCGAGTTTAGCGATACAAACTATTGCTCTTCTATCATTGTATGTGATACAAAAACATCCATCCAAATTTACTTTCATTTATTTAAGATAATCATTGATCAAAAATTGTCCAATGTACAGTTTGAAATGATGGGTACATGATTGTTACTTCGGTCATTCGGACTGCCTAACATGATTGGTGCTCATTTTCCAAAGGCGGGGCCAATCTAAAGTTAGGTACTATACTCTGAAATCTGTGAAAGGGAATCTAGTATCATGTAGACAAAACGTCCAATGTAACACTCATTGATTATGTCATTGAGAAAAATTGCCCAATGTAACATGTCCGATGTACAACTCGACTTGTCAAAACGTCCTATGTGGTTTTTTCTATGTTGTAGCATGAAATTCAAAGTAAAATTGTGATATTACCGTTTCTTCTGAATTTTCAACGTTATTATACACTAACTACATTAAAAATAGTATTGCAACATGTATAGTTTTTAAAAAGTTAAAATAATAATCTGTTGAACTTCAACTTCGATTTTCTCAAAATGGTGGATGTGTTACATTGGTCTATTTGAAAAGTGACGCGAGAAATGAACAAATGAGTTCATTTAACGACAACGAATACGCGTTTGTTGATATTCTCCCATGCTTGATTATCCAACTCAAAATTGTCAAAATCAGAAATGATCCTCAAAAGCAAAATAATGAAATTCATTTTGGGCAAAATGATTATTTTGAATATTGTCGACTCCAGAGCCTAAAACCGGGATTTTATCATCAGTTCAGCATTAGGCAATGATTTGCCATCGGTTTGTATGTAAAAGTTAATACGAAACGTCCTTCAGCGCTATGTTTGTCTACAATGAAAATAATCATTTTGCATTTGATCCACATAATCATCCCCACCAAGTGAAGACGAATATTAATATTGACAACAACGGACAACAAGAGAATGTTAGCGGCGCCGGTGGTGTAGTGGTAAGCGTGATTGCCTCTCACCCCAGCAGGCCTGGGTTCAATCCCAGTCGGCGCCGCCGGGATGTTCTGAGGCATAACATCTCTGATCGCGCCTTCCTTCGGAAGGGAAGTAAAGCCGTTGGTCCCCGGTTCATGAGTTGATGGGTCGATAGGTAGGGTCCAGGTGTAGGAGCTGCCTTTCTGGCGTCGGTAGCATTTGTGCTCAGCACGGAAAACAAGATCGACGGAAAACAAATCAAAGAAAAAAAAAAACAAGAGAATGTTGTTATGTTAAAATTCAGATTCGTGTAAGTAGTTGGTCTATCTGTTAAGGTTGTCTTCGTTTTCAGCTAAGTTGAGTGTAGAAGGAATGATTTTTTATCAACACTGCACTGAACTGTTAAAAAGTTCATCTGATTGAGGTTGACCACTAACGGTGCAAATCCTGATTGGCGGACAAAAGTTGGCGCTACTTTAATAGTGGCGTAAGATAGAAATTTTGACATGATGGTGCTTTCAAAATTCTTTCACAGTGAGGTATGGGAGAGAAGTTTGGAATCATATAAAAAAGAT